TTTACAACTTTTTGTAGTGTTTACAAAACTGGATTATCTCAGGAAAGCTGATCTCAATTGTCTTTCTACTTTAGTGCGTAAGATGGCAAGTTAGTATTTTATGCTCTTTTTTACGGTAGAAAAAAAAATCAAAGAGCGTGAGTAAACTGAAGAGTTAAAAATAGTTCTATATTCATTCACTTCTGTTGTTGTTGTTTTTACAATAAATTATTATTTTAATAAATATCCCCATAAATGATTTTTTATTATTATTACACGAATCTAATGAAGCAGTAATTAATTAAGCAGTAATATAAATTTGATTCAGTGTTGTGACATGCTTTGCCTTGCCAGATCTGAATTTACCCAGTTGTGGATGTTCAAACACCCAAATATCTTATCCATATCGTGGGGATAGCAGTAGTGAGTATAACTCATAGGGATAATATGTCTTTTATATTGATCTTACAATATACCATGTACTACATCTTTATTTCTGTTATGCACATACATGTGCACTAATCCTTTAAAAATCATTCTGATACTCATGATATTTCCAGATAATTGTATTATTTTTTAAATAAAGATTCTTTTATTTATTCTAAAGTTTTTTTTATAAAATCATCTTTCTGTTCAATGCCAAGGAAGGGAAAATTTTATTCAGTAGTTAAATAATTATATTTTCTTCCAAAATATCAGAAACTAATAGAGCAGAAAAATTTATATGCATATCTTTGATTATTTTTCTCAAAGTTTTAGACTTAATCATATTTCTTTATCAATAGATACCCATTATTATACGTGTAGAAATAACCCAATATTCCAAGGTAAGTTAAAAGATAATATACGTATATAAAATGCTTTGATTTTGCATTTTTGACACCTACTTTTCATGATGTTCCTGAACATATACTTTAAGTAATCATTAAACTATTTTTGCTTTATTAAGAGGCAATGAACACATACCTGACCGATCAACCTCAGTATTCTGGCGGAAGTACAGTGACAGTCGTACATTGTCATAGTCGAAATAAAGGTCTGTGATAAGGAGATTAATTAAAATTTGAATTGCTTCTATGTATTTAAACTGATTTCAATTATTCTTAAGTTTAGGGTTTTGTAAAAGGTGTTTAATACAGCAAAATTTGGAAGAGCCTTCTAAGTTACAAATTTCAGAGATTATGCATTTACTATATATTGTGCTCACGTTTGTTTTGAATGAAGCTAAGAAATATATGTAAGTGTATTTCATGAGGTACTAGTTATGTATGCATATGACAGATTTTAGTTGAAAATATATATTGACATTTGTTTTCTAAATGTTTATTACGGAGATAAATTAACATCATAAGTGCATAAAATTTTACTTTATTAATTTTCCTTTACGATATCTTTTTTCCAGTCTGGAAAGACCTACTCCGCTTACTAAATGATGGCACAGAATGCTTTGTTGATTTTGTCTATCAGTTGGATGGTATGAACATTTTATCGACCTTACCTTTTTTTTAAAAATTAACTTTGATTCAATTTCCATCGCAAATGATTTCTTAAGAAATGATGACTGCAAAAGATTGTTAGAATAATTTTCTATATCTTTAAAATATATCAAGCATTCTTATAAACAAAAAGTGGTATGAAAAATAGGTTGAAATTTTTTGATAGCTTTTCTCACATAAAAAGGTTGTAGTTTAAAATTGAACTAATTGACAGATTTCAAGGAAGTGTAGGTTGAAATTATGTCAAATTATTATATTCTTTTAACCTGTCTAATGTTTATGTTATCTTTAGAAATAGAAAACATTTTCATTATTTCCCTTGATTTGCAGTTGCCTTTTTTTATAACCGTGAACCAAACTGCCAGAATGCCTGCCAAACTGGTACAACACAGCCTCATAGTATGTTTCATTTTATTAATAAAATGTAAAGTATATGATAACAAAACAAAATGAAAACAGTTGAAAGATAACTTAGAGTGCAGGAAAATCACATGTTAAAAATCCCTCATTGTATCTTTTTGTAAAAAACAATAAAGAAAGCGTGTTTATATTTTGATATCTTCAATAGGTATTGATTTGTTAAGATGCGTTTTTACTGTAAACTTTTTACGTCTAGCTACACAGTCCCCAACCCATCAACTGTCACAGAGTGAAAGTGAGTATTGTATTCCTTCCTCCTCTTTCTCCAACAAAATGTTTATTTTAAGACTTTCGTAGAGTATAGTTGTAAATATGTAAAATGATTGTCACTTTGATTTAGAGATAACGTTTATATACATTTATTGAAAATAATAATTCAAAATACGAAAATTAAGTCTGCTTTAATCAAAGTCCTTATTCTCAAAAAAATATGTTCCTAATAATTATTTGGCTTAAAATACTTTAAAGATACTTTAATGCTTATTAGTCCCCTACCGGTGAAACCGGAGGGGACTATAGGTTTCCTCTGAGTCTGTCCGTCCGTCTGTCTGTCTGTCGGTCTGTCCGTCTGTCCCTCTGTCTGTCTGTCAGTCTGTCCCACTTGGTTTTCCGCACTTTTCTCCTAAACGCTTGCAGATATTGAGCTGATGTTTGGTATATGAGTGTATCTTGATGAGTTACAGATCAACTTTGCATTTCGATCCGCTTCATTGATTTTGGACGGAAATACGGCCTTTTCAATTTTTAAGGGTTTTCCGCAATTTTCTTCTAAACGCTTTCAGATATTGAGCTGGTTTTTGGTATATGTCTTTACCTTGATTAGTTATAGATCAAGTTTGCATTTCCTCCCGCTTCATTGATTTTTGACGGAATTATGGCATTTTCAATTCTTAACGGGAACCAGATTACATGTACACTTGCCGGTAGTGGACTAGTATTGCTAATGCAATACTCTCAGAATGCTTGTTTGTATTACCTCTTTTGAAACTATTAGAATGCTTGTTTGTATTACCTCTTTTGAAACTATTATTGATATAATCATCCTCGTCATTATAATCATCACTATTATCAATTGATATTCCTTAGTTATAAAAATGATTATTTTTGTGTGTGTAAGTACATGTATAGTATTGTATATCTGAAAATATTGTATGGCTATTCAGATTTTATTGATGGGGAGAGGACTACCAAGGTTTTTGGAACTTGTGTCCAATCCTTTGGCATATTGTTAATAAAATATCTTCAAAACAAATAAATTTAAAATATTTAAAGAATTTTTAGTCAGCAGTATGTCACATACTCTATGCAAAAATGATTTAGAAAAATTCCTATGAAGGTTACTCAAGCAAACTTTTTTTTATTGTTAAATGACCATCTTTTTTCCAGAATACGAGGCTTACAAGAAGGGGGAGTGTCTAAGTGAACACACGTGTAAGTAAATCTGTATTTGATTGGCTGAGTGGGCATGAATGTCATTTTCATGCTTAAAATGAATTTGGAATATAAGCAGGTTTACGTTTATATTTCCCTATTGAGAAAGAATTGGTTACTTATATATATGTACATATACCTGCATCAATAACTGATAAAAATTAACATTTGGTAAATTTTCGTATAGTATGGTCGTTCCTTTATTATGACAATAACCTTCCAGAGGGTTTGAGCAGGAAACAACTCATACAAAAGATGGCAGGTATTCAAGTTTGTTTTATCACTAAAATATTATTTCCTTTAGTTTTTAAAGTCTTATTTTACATGAAGCTCCCAAGATGTGTAAGTGATGATGTGTTAGGTTTTTTACCTTTCATATTTTTTAAGCAAAATCTCATACAAATCTGTGCTTCATGGGTTGCCATATGTTTGAATACTTGAATTGAAAGACGAAATAATATATTTCCTAGAACATACTTGATAAGAATGAGACAGATTAATTTTGTAAGAGTTTACCGGCTTTTCGTTATTTATTGAGTTGTTATTAATTAAAATATTTGTAAATAAAAGCTTGAGCACCATTCTAAAATACATGCTTTTGACTTTCAGTGTAAGTATAATGATAAAAGGTTACTTTCTTAAGCTTATTGCAAATAGAAATAATTGCTTTGACGAAAGAAATTGATTTAACCGTCCATCAGTACTCAGACAAGGCCACTGTGTGTTAAGCTCACCTGAGCATAGGTTAAAGTGAGCTATCCTGATCATAAAGTGTTGTCGTAATAAGTATGTATAATCCATCTGAGAAAACACTTCCCCCCACGTAGTATTACATGACTCAAATTAGGAGTGAGACGATACACAGACCTCACGATATGAAGCATATCTCGATACATTCAAATCAATACGATTATGATGAAATGTGAAGATGACAAACATTAATCAAGCTCAAAAGTCCATCGAAACAATACAGATTTGGAGCAGATGAAACACGGACCTCTAAAAACATCAAGGATGGGATCAGATGCTATGGAGGAGTAAGCATCCATTTCGTAAAAACTTTATGCTTTCATATGTTTTTACTGAAATGTGAATATAACGAATATTGTCGTTTATGCTCAAAAAACCACTTGAACAATATAAATTATGAGCAGAGATAACTCTGAAAACATAGGTGGGATCAGGTGCCACAGAGAACTAAGCATCCAACGTCGACGCACAATATATCGTCCCATCCCTAACCTTAATCCACCCTACGGGTCATGATAAAATACACTTAAACATTCACCATAAGGGATTCTCACATATTAGAATTGATTAATATGGTCTTTCTGTTGTCTGTTCTTCGGATAAACCTACATATTCTATAAGATGTTGAACTTCTTTTTTTGCCTCTGTCTAGCCCTGCAGGCTATTTTTTAACGCATTGTGGCTTTGTTTTTCTTATAAAAAGTAATTTATCTCGTATGATTTGTAAAGCCATGTCATTCTGTAGATTTGAAAATAAAAAAAATTAAGTTAAACCCCTCTAAAGGGGTGGTAATTTTCTACAATTCGTCAAATTAGTCTCATTTATAATTTGGGTTCATTACCTTCTATCCCCAGTGTACCTTGCAGTGTAAGTGAATGTCAACGTTTATCTTTAATTATACTGCTTTATCTTTTAATTTTTTCCAGCACTCTATCCTTATGGTACTGATGATAAGTGTGCTTGTTCCCAAACGTTTGATTTGCACTATAATGACTATGGAACTCAAGGTAGGATCTTGATCGAAATACATTATGTACGACAACATTAATAATGAATATTCAGTTTCCTCAGTAATTGTTAATTGAATTACATTATATATGCAAATAGAAAAAGAACCATTTCCAATTTTCTGGATTTATTTAATTTTACATAATATTTAATTGATTGAATTACTTTGATTTCAGATAACACAGCCTGGGACTGTTCAAGGAATGCTCAGAGCTCTGCATACAGAGGTATCTCTGTCTCTATAAGACACCTTATTTTATGTGTACTTCCATTACCAAAGGAGGTATTTATCCATTTTATAAATGTTTATCATATTTTCTTCACATACGGGTAAGAAGCGTTCTCAAGCCTACATTTGCTAACACGTTTGCATTTAGCAACTAGAGGCTTTCATGTTCCTTTTATGTACTGATTTCAACACAATACCCTTGGTAGAGTGATAAATTTTCTTTTTCTTTTTAAAAATATATTTCATGTAAATTTGATCATGTAATATTATATTTATTGACTTTAATACAACACCTTTGATACAGTGATAAATTTTAGTTTTTGTTTAAACTTTGATAGTGATAATACATGTATTATATTTACAAATTTTACTAAATAACATGGAAATTAATATCTTTACCTCTGGTTTAAACCCCTCATTTTTGTTGTAGGTGCTATATCTCATCTGCTGGACCACATGAATTTTGTTCAACCAGCTCCTCAGATTTGCCATTCGCATGCATCTGGTAATTTTAATTCTCTAAAAAAAAAAACCCATGTTTTCATTCAGTATTTTATTATAATCCTATTTGATTATTTGTATTATCATATATCAAATCTCAGTCAATCATGAATAACTATAATCCTACCTGTAGCAGAAAATAATGAAAGATTTTTATCATTCAGTACCGATAATGAAAATTTTAATTGATTTATCAACGTATTGAAGATGAAATCCGAAACGATGATCATCATATAATTTGCTTTGAAGAAATAATTAAAAAGTTCTCAAATTTATGACAAAGATTTTTTCAAACTTGAGAAAAAAAATTGTTTCATTATTTCAAGTGTTTGATTTCAAGAACCTTTACTTTTTTATCTTATCAAATAACATAGTTTGGCGGGAACTCAATGATATTCTACAAAACAACCATGATGGCGAACGTTGTGTGGAGAACCTTATTCATCATTTATACGGTAACACAAACCTTTAGATATGTACACTTCAATGTTCATAAAAATTATTGTTCATGAAAAAAAATCTGCTACTTCAAATTTGAATTTAGCAAATACAGATAGAGATACATGTATTTATATTATTGGATGAGAACTGTTCATGTTTTAATTCTGTGTTACAGAACATTAACATTTGGAAAACAAAACTCGGAAAAGTTAATTTGCTTAACAATTCATCCTCAATTAATCTTAAAGATGTCAAGATGATATCCTAGTGCTCCCAGTTCATCGATCAGGCAGTGCAAAACAGCTTTTTCCCTCAAATAATTAATTAGGTATTGATTGTTCAGTCTTCACATTACTTCAGGTGCTGTACACCAACAAGGAGATCCATGTTCATGCCACCCTGGTAAGGCATTTTGTGATTTTGGAAGATTTCAACTTTTTTTCTTCGAAAATGGAACTCATTATTATTAAATATTGTTGATCAATGTCCATGTCATGCTGTTAAAGCATTTTTTGTAATTAAGGAAGATTTCCACTTTTTTAAAAATCAGAAATGAAACTGATTACTATTTATATATTGTTTTCAATTGATGTTTTAGTATTTAAGTGTCACTCAACATTGCCTATGAAATCATGTGTTGATAATTTTTGTTCTTGAAATTAGAATTTTTTTCAAGAACTAGTTTCTACTCCTGATGTATTGACAGCAATGACAACAAAAACAACAACAACCATAACCTCACCAACAACAACCACATCTACCACAACCACAACACCAACTACCACCACAACCACAACTCTAACAACAACCAAAGCCACAACACCAGCAGCAACAAACACAATTCTTCCAACGACAACTACTGCAATCATGAACTCAACCGCTGTAGCTGCTACAACAATTATAAATAATTTGAATACTAGTACAAACTCTCTACAAACAACAACAACAAGCAATAATACAACCAATACAACATCAACACCATCCAACACAACATCACCAGGGACAACAACAGGCAGGTTAATAGACACGTAATTGACAAAATGTTGAGAGTCATCTGCTTCACATTGTTTCATGATTATTAATTAATTGAAATTGAACCGAATTTAATTACATTTCAGAGCATTATAATTCTCTTAACTTGTTCTATGTTATAGGCCAGTTTACTGAGTGTTCTAAAATCCGAACAGTCACAGAACTGGCTAAATATCAACAGCTCTACCCACATTTTAATACCGACTGCTCCAGTCACATATCCACGTCTAATTTAATCGTTAGGGATTTATGTGATTCTGTTCCAAGTTCAAAATACTGGAAACCAGGAACAAAGGTAATTTTTTTTAAATGCCTTATTTTTTTCGTCTTCTGTTTAGTTCCTTTTGTTCGTTTTTGTGTTTATTTGTTGAAATTGGTTTGCACTTATAACATACATATATTTAGGAATTATATCATGATATCATATTTAACGGATAAAGTTGTACATATACTTGCATTGATGTCTCAAAAGCCTGATCCGACGTCATAGAATCATTTTTGACGTTTAGTTTAACGTCTCTTCTCACAAAGATCTTTGAAGCCACATCAGAGTACTAATTGCTGCCTCCCCCCCCCCCTTTCACCTGCAAGTGTGGGATATTAGTTTGGGTCTGTCTGTCCGTCTATCCATCCGTTGTCCGTCTGTCGTATTTCTGTATGTCTGTAACACTTTCATTTCCGTGCGAGAAGCCTTTGAACTTTTGCAATGAAATTTCTATCACATTTCCCCATCGCATGAAAAAGACCCCTATTGATTTTGAGGTCAAAAGGTCAAAGTTCAAGGTCATAAATTCATACATTCTCTCTGTGTGTAATACTTTTGTATCTGGGCGATATCTCGGTAAGCCTTTGAGCTTTTGCAGTGAATATTTATACCACTACAGTGGCTGCAACGTTATTGTTGACAAACCAATCGTGTAGAATCGTTCGTGTAACGTGCGTGATCGTTCGTGTAACGTGCGAGATCGTGCGTGTATCAGACTCAATCGTTTGCGGTTTTAATCGTGCGTTAAGAAACGTGTAAATTTCGTTTTGTAAGTTTTTATCGGAATGTTATTTGTAATACAAGCATTTCGCTTGTCTGTTTTTTTAAATACAAACAAAATAAATGAAGCGCGATTTACATAATTGAAAGCAGAACGAACTAATTATTGCTTGGAAATAAGCAATATAGTAAGTCGTACAATATTCTGTTCTCGTCAAATAGCGTGATTTTTTGTGATAAACCGTACTTACATGTAGATGTTTAAGGATTTTTTCTCTGATGTTAATTATGTTTACTGCTTATTATGGTCAAGATATTTGTAAAATCAATAGATCAAAAATAGATATTTTTAACAAATAAATAAATAAACAATTCTCAATGCTTTCATAAATGTTTAGTCGGCGAATGTACATGTACATGATTGTCGGGGTTTCGTTTATCAGTGTTTATCTCTGGAGCTTACTTTTAATTATTTTTATAATTTCTGCAAATAAATGATTTGTAAAATAATTGTTGATTTTAGAGATTCACAAATGGAAACATGGATATAACTTATAATTTAATTCATTTTCATCCCATTTTTTTTTTTCAAACTTTTCCCTTTCTGCATATTATGAAATCCAATTCAATCAAAACTCACGGTCCACCTACGTGTACATCTTCTGATAGAACAAAAAAAATATTATTATTTCTTAAGTCGGAGAATTACGTAAATAATTATTTGTAATCTAAAATAATTAATTATTATAAGTCTTACATGTATTGAGTTCCAGAAATATCCATTTCTATTTTTTTTTTTCATTTTTCAAAATCGATGAAATAATATCAATAATTATTTGAAGTCTAAAATAAGTAGTAAGCCTTATTTCGTTTTGAAAATATCCATTCTTAAAGAATTTGAACTATTTTGCGTGAAGAATCGGTCGTTTGCGTTAGCAATCGTGTAGGATCGTGTAACGTGAAGAATCGTGTGCGTGGGGGATCGTTCGTGTAACAGATTTTATCGTGCGTTAATCGTGCGGAATCGTTCGTGTAACGTGATCGTTCGTGTAAGTTGTCAACAATAACGTTGCAGCCACTGTACTTCCTATGCCTGAAGAAGACCCCTATTGATTTTGAGGTCAAAAGATCAAAGATCAAGGTCTTCAACTCATACATTCTGTCTGTATGTAACACCTTCGTATCCGGGCGATATCCCAGGAAGATTTTGAGCTTTTGCAATGAAATTTTATACCATAACTCCCTATGGCCCCGCCCACCCCTCTCAAAATGTCCCGTTCCCTTGTTTTTTTCTCTTTTTTTTTCTTTAATTTTATTCATTTTTTTTTTATCAAAATTCAATTGGACATTTGTTGGCGTCGATCACGCTTACAGTTTTAGAGTTACTCCCCTTTTGTATTAAAAGTCTCGTGACACTATTTTTAGCAAAGGAAACATATAATACAGGTTATCGGTGGACTTTATATAATTACATGGTAAATCTATTAAAAGTGTTTTGTAAAGGATAAATTAGACACCATGTGTTGTGTAAAATTTGACTATATCGAACGTGTCAAGAACGAAAAATTGGACGTTATAAGGACATTGGAAATCTGGGATATTTTTAGACAAAGCACAAGTATTTGCTGGTCAAACGAAAAATATATATTTAGAAAAATACAAATGAGAAGTGGTGAATAATACGAAAAGCACCAGTATACACAAAGTATTTTGATCTACGCCTAATTTCATACCAGCAGATATGATGTGTGGCGTGTACAAACATTCTCATAAAATCATTCTTACAGTGTGATATATATTTTATATGAAAAGAATCTTTTGTACACATTTTAAAGAATAAGCAATCAAATCTATATATCAATATTGGCATTTACAATGTGAAAATTTTGTATAAGAAGATCGGTATGTAGATGTATACAGTAAAATAAATAAAAAATAAAATCCGCCAACCCAATTTTTAAGCAAATTTACGTGTCCTTAATGCAAAAGCTGAAAGGTCAAGGTTTAACACTTTTTTCTTTCTCCATCTGCAATTTTTTTCCATTTCTTCCATCCTCTTCCAGACCCGCGGATCCCGGAATTTTTTTCCGGGGGGGGGGGGAGGGGGGAGCTTGCCGCCCCTATCAAATAATTTCCATCCAGGAAATTTCTTGACAAGCAAAAAAAAACCTGAACTTCTTTCCCAAACGTGAATAACCTATTTTTTTTAAAACAGGGATCCACGTTTTCTTGGGGGGGGGGGGGAGTAATTTTTATTTGCTTCAATATATACATTAAATAACTCTGAGGTGTTGTTACCAGAATTTTTTTTCACAATAATTTGTCTAATCTAAATAAAAATACCTGATCAAATCTATGCAATTATGTCTTTTAACCTAAAATATTTATATTAACTACACATACTTGGAAACTGGCACTCTTTTAGAGAGGTTTGACTCAAATTCAGCGTACGTGTTTTATGTTATTATTCAATGTTAAGTTAAGCAAAACATTATCTACATTTGTACCCTTTTTTTTAAACAATATTTTCGTTGTAGATAAAACATTCAACCATGAAATCGAAATTATCTAAATTTATTGTTCCAAAGCATTTTCATTATCAAAAGCATTCTTACTAGTAAGATAATTTTCAAATATATCTAAAACCCCAGATACGTCACACAAATAATTTTGTTCTTGTAGGTAGTAGATGCATGTGACACTCTGATGCCTTATACACCAGTTGCAACTTTTAGTTCCTCTAGCTACCCTATAGACGGACTTGCAGGAATTTTCGTGGGCTGTACCGATAAATTTATAAGAGTATGTACATAGTAAAAATATTCCCTTTAGAACACCATCAGGGTTGCCATTTTTAAACGATTTATTAGACTTTTTATGAAGATTTTGACTATCTTTTTTCTAAGGATAGACTCTGCACTGTAATACTCATGCTTTCTGTCTGTAAAAAATATTATATTTATATTTGGATTTTTTCATTGATGAAATATGAAGGTCTTTTTTTTTAGATTGCGGCCCAGGAGTGTGGTGGTAAATTTGAAATTCTTGAGTTCTCTCGACTTCACAATAATTTGGAAAGCTTTACGCATACTTCATCAAATTACTATGCTATTACGTATTAACAGAATAGTGTGCATTAATATGGTGTGAATGTTTTTGAAACTTACAGGAAAATAAAAGACATTGCCAAATTTTGATTATAGTTATAAATCTAACGTTTTTGATCAAAGAATCGGTTATATCAGGGTGTTATATTCCATAAAACTAGTCGCTCATCGTGGAAAAGATTTTAACTTAATTTTAATACAATGTATTTCGTTTACCATTCCTGTCCTACATACATGGCAATGCAGAAAATCTGTCTGAAATTGGGAACGTTGACAACTCTAATTGAAATTTGTTGTGGTTTATATCTTTTACTTGACCTTTTCAAAATGCCATACCAGGAGACCACCTGGTGGCATTGCATTTGGAGTGATCATCAATGATCTGTACAAATTCTTAAAAGACAACGATGCTTAAAGTACATGCATGTTATAATTTGCTGAACACTGAAAAATAAAAAGTTTCAATCTAAATATTATAAACAATTATGGAAATGTATTTATTACAATTATAAAAATCACTTACATACTGGACTATTGTGGAAAAAATATTACGTTCATAGATATATAGTAAAAAAAATTGAGTAATGTGCATGTTAAACAGTAGAGCACTACACTAGCCGTTGTCTTAGGATTTATCAAAGTATCTAATGTACAAAATGATGTCATTTCATGTAAAGGAAAAAAATAAAACATAAGGTTTGCAACTCAGGTTTGTTTAAGAGGATATTGTTTTTACTATGTTATAATTATTTGTCACAAAACATAATAATATTTAAAAAAAAAAAAAAAAGGTACCTCGCGGTCATGAACGCCCTTTATTCAATGAAGAGAAGGTAAAGGAATACCTTTGAATTTAATTCAGTATTAATTGTTTATATAATATTTGTCCCAAATTGAAGGTGAGTTGTCTCAGATTATCTTGGGGCTGATCTGTCCCGATTCCTTATGATCTTAAAAGTCCAAACGTAATCTTGATAACATACAAAGTACTTCTGATACAAAACAAAGTAAAAAGCAAACAGTAAATAGTTAAAGGGTTTCTTTGCTTTATGGTTCTTAATTTATAAATATTCCTATTAATAATTGACTTATCATTGACCCATTCTTTGTCTGAAGCCAATGCTTAAGGTTACAGGTTAACAGTAAATGAAACTGAGCATCACAGCGAAAACAGTTCATAAATACCATGATACAAAGATGTCA